ATCACTAAGAATTGTCACCACTTCAGAAGTAGGAGTCTTTGGGAGTCTATATCTTGGGGGCTATGATATACTTAAGAAGCAGATTTGAATTCCCCAGCTCCTACAATAAGGACCCTCAAACTATGATGTCACTATAATAGGTCCGAACAGAAAGCCCTAATTCACTGAGGGACTATGGATTGTTGGGATCTATGGGGGAGATATTTGTGGAAGCCACGAGATGTACTGTAGGACACGTCAGCTTTGCTACGGTCTCTGGTCAAGAGACTTCGGTACTTGGGAAGAGCTGACTTAGGCAGGTTTATACTCATTACTCCTAGTATCCCACGCCAAACGAGACCTTAAACAGAAACCTTCATGAAGCCCGGTTAGGCCGTGTTGGCCGTGGAGTTACAAGAGAAGGGCTCAATGTGCACCTTGCCCAGACCTTTGCATGCTTGCTAAGGTTGGTACAGTCAGCGGCACTTCGATTTCCTTCAGCACGGCCAGGTCAACGAGCTTTAGATTTCTAGGGCTTAAGGTCATTGGCCACAAACCAGTCGCAACAGCGGCCTCAAATGCAGAGCAGCACAAAAAGGACTACAGTAGTAGTAGTACCAAGACTAGATCGGAACGCTGGAAATGACAGCAACACTAGCATTGGAAATGCTCCTCGTCATACAATAAGTAACGGCGGAACAATCACGCAAGAATGAGTGATGCTCCTAGGAAGCATCGAAACCCAAAGGTAAATCATAATTTTAGCTTCTGGGCATAGAATAGCGTGTCAACAGCCCAAATGACGGGTACAATCACTACTTGAGTCAAATCACGCCTACCCATCATAACAAACAGAAGGCGTGGCTTAAAAACACACTGCTAATTAAGATGACCCCTGAATCCTCAACACTCAACACTCATGATGATCCACATATACTATCAATGTTAATTTCATTTCTTCTGAATGGGGTTCTCGATTTATCCATCAACCCTAAACCCTAAACAAAGTAGCATCTCACCTGTCATTTCCCATTTGCTCTTTCCCTCTGATTGTCCACTATTGGGGTTGCTTCTCTAAACCCCGTAGAATACCTATATAACCCGCAGTAGAATCCCCGTATAATCCCTGGTAGAACCCAAAGATAATCTCTGTATAACATAATCCCTCTAAATATACATCCCCCAATACCACATTAAGGGGTCCCCATCTTCCCTAAACCCTAAACCCTAAATCCCTAAGCCCTGAACCCCAAATTCCTGAGCCCTACCCTAAATCCCTAAACCATAAATCCCTAAATCCTGAATCCCTAAAGCCTAACCGTAAATCCCTAAACCCTAAATCCCTAAACCCTGAATCCCTGAAGCCTAAATCCCTAAGCCTTAAACCCTAGATCCCTCAACCCTAAATCCCTCAACCCTAAATCCCTTAACCCTAAATCCCTACGCCCTAAACCCCATCTTCAAGCTTGCAGAGCTGTCCTCAGCCCGGCTTGCACCTGAGCTGCTCTGCTTGCAGCAGGGTTTAGCTCCAGAGCTACAGGATGAAGAATCAACAGGAAAATTACATCGGTTTAGGGTTCAGGGCTTTAGGGTTTTTAGGGTTGAAGGATTTAGGGATTCAGGGTTTGGGGTATTTAGGGTTTAGGGTTCCAGGATCGAGGCTTCCAGGGTCTAGGGCTCTAGGGTTCCAGGCTTTAGCCTTCCAGATGTTAGGCTTCCAGGTTGAAGGTTCAATGGTTTGGGTTCAAGCTGCCGTGATTGCTATATTGCTGATACTATTACTACTACTATTACTACTACTATTACTATTCCTATTACTATTACTATTACTGTTATTACAGCTATGGATTCCTCGCAATAGCTCTTCAAGCGGCTGCTGCTTGCAGATCTCAGGGGCAAGACGGGTAAGGGGTTATCCTTAGGTGAACACACTCGCACTCCTTGCTGGGGATCACATAGCTTGACTACACGTGCAGGCTGGTTCAGGGATTCTGCAGGCAGAGATATGGTTCAGGCATAAATAAATAAAAAAATATATATATATATATGTATATATATATATATGGTTGAGGGTCATTACCCGAATAAAAGATAATTAATGGAAAAGAATGGACAACGAAATGGAGACTACTATGTGACTATATACACAGGTCAACCAGAGCTTATGGTTATGTTCGTAGGATGATGCTGATACTACTAATGACCCCGCCACCTCCTAGGATCTGTATGCGGACCCCTTCATAACGACAGCCAACTTTGAGACAGCCCAAACTCAACATAATCTGCGTGTCACCCTGCACAGCTCTACATGTCCTCTGCAGCATCAGCAGGCCCTTTGCTCCAATTGCTCTCCTCACTTTCCTCGTCATATTCCCCGCATCAAAGAAAGCCCTTTCTCATAGATAGTTCTGAATGTCTTGGAATCATTTGAAATCTAGTTTGTGTAGACGAAAGAGTCTTCGTCGTATCCGAACACGCTCCTCAAAAAAAATCTCGCTTTGTTGTACTTCATGGCAAGATGACACATCAAGCTCCTATCTTGCCTTCTTCTGCACTCAAGCCCTTATGCATGTTGGACAATGCCCCCCCCCCCCAACGACTAGAGTTTATCCCCAATATACCATATAGTAGCTTCCATTTTCTTTTCCGTTATCCCTATATAACCCCCATATATACCCTGTATAACCCCCATATATACCCTTTAAAACCTGTGCAGCTGCCTTTTTTTTCTTCTGAGGCAAGCTCCAGCCTGAATAGGCTCCAGCAAGCCCGCCGCTCAGCAAAGACTGGGTTGCTTTTAAGGAGCTTAAATTAAGTTAC